CATCCTGTCTGGGTTGTTTTGTCTGGAGATCCCGGATGCTGGGCGGGGTAGTTCCAGCACTGCTTACATAACGGGTGGATTGACCATGTGTCGCCTTTCCCATCCATGGCTCCACCCGAAAGGCGGTCGCTTCCGTTCCCCAAAGGACCCAACGGTGTCGCCAGATCCGTCGAACCGTCTTCGGCATGCCACGACCTTCACCGGTCGGTTCACGGGGCCGGTCGCTCAATTGGTCTTCTGTTCAAGGAGAAGAACGTTGACCGTTGATGATCATTGAACACCCTGGGGCTCCAAGTACCTGGTATCTGGACGAACCCACCCCCAAACACCTTCTGAGGAGGTACTTGGAGCCCTAGCAATACACATTTGACAGATGGATTTCAACAGTTGGTCATGGCGAACGGGTCACGGGGGCCGATGGATGCCACAATAGCCAAGTCCCGAAGAATCTGGACTGCTGGTTTACCATTTAGTCTTTCAACCACTGGTTGAAGACTGGAACCACTGGCAGTAGCGTCCTTGCTACTAGTATGGAAGAATACATGCCGACAAAAACCGCTTGGAGAAAAGAGAATCACAGAAGTTCTTCATCGGTCGATGGCATGATGCTCCTGGACGGTCCGCACGCTCCGCGCGGTTCCGCGACCTGAGCGGTGCGCTGGACCTACCACGACCCGGTGAGCTTCGGCAGAGTGCCAGGTGTTTTGGAGGAGCTCACCGGGCAGCTTTCACGGCTTGGCAGGGAAGCCTGGTGAAGCGATGTGGCGGGAGCCCTGTCATGGCAGAAACGGGTGGACTCTCCAATGTGATGGGGTCCTTTTTCAAACCCTGCATTCTGAGACCCTGGTAACTCTATAGGTATCTATAGGTACTGAATGGTCGCAAGATAGACAGCTGCTAAACAAGACAGTGCCAGAGTAACCCTTTCTACCTCATCTGTCTGTGTATGTTTGGTGAGGGCTCGTGTCTCAGACGGCGAGTAAACGCATCTATCCACCTCCAGGCACATGCAATCCGTGGGCGACCCACGAGGGATCGGACCCTCATCCTCTGGGGTCTCTAGGGCAGGTCTCCAATTCGCGAGACTGGAGCTCGGTCGGAGTCCGAGGTCGGTCGGAGGATTGGGGGCCTTTTTTTGGGACGAGACACGCCACCGGATTCCGTGACTCTTCCCTAGACTTCCAAGACCATTAAAAAACAATGGTTGACCTGGTTTTTGTATTGTAAAATCCCTAGTTGATTTGGTAAAGCCTATAAAAATAATGGTGGTTGGAAGCCTTCGGCTCTTGGATTCCTTTTTCTTTCGTCCGCTTCGCTTCACCATACAATCCACCGACCGGATGACCTTCGGCTCCGAGGCCGCGAGCGGGCACATGACCAGGGGCCCTGCGAATTGGAGCTCGGGGCGCCCGGGTCCGGGTGACGTTGGACCCGTCGGGTCTTCCGATCAAGGCGGCGGGGGGTCGAATGGACAAAGGCTTCCCCGAGGTCGCGGAAGGTGTTGGATGTTTCATGTTTGTTTTTTTCGGAGCCGTGAAAGAATTTGAGAACCCGAAGGACCCAAGTTTCCGGAAACCACCGGTTGCGGTGGCAGCAAGAGGGTATGGAAGTTCGAGTGAGCTGAGTGAAAGACCATGGGCAGGTGTTCCATAAAGAGACTTACTGTGATTGCTGAAAGTCAGATACTGACTGTATAATTTACACCGTGTTGATTTCCGTATCTAGTGCTCAATCAACCACATTCTTATAGCTCTTGTCACGAGTCTTTGTGTTGGAACCATTATGGGTGACCCCTTTTTGTGGCCACTCTCGAAGACTTGAGGGCACTCGCATGCCTCTTCCAGACCAGCTACCGCTCGCATCGGGGGCCCGCCTGATGCAGCTCCCAGCCCCTGAGGACGGGCTTGCGGCAGGTCATTGCGATGGTGAGCCCGGGATCCTCGGAATCCTCGTCGATGGCGGGATCCTCCGCGGAGTCGGTGGCATTGTGCGGTTGGTCGACTCAAAGGAGTTTTTTCGTGGTGAGCCCTGGTGGTTGGAGAGCTCGGAATCTTTGAAAGCAGATCTACCTGAATCTATCTATCTGATCCATTGTTTTGGTCATTGATCTATCTGAATCTATCTATAAAGCACCTGATGTTTTGGGGGTCTCCATGCAAGACTACCATGCACTACTGGATTGGAGCAACCCTTTGAGCAACCCTTTGAAGTTCCAGGTATGTAAAGTGAGGATCTCCAAGCTGTTTCTATTCCGAAGCATCTGGCACTATCTTGCTTGGGAGAAATGAGCGGATAAACCACTTTATCAAGCTGCTTTGGGCTCTCAAACGAACAGCCAGCCAGAGTTCGTTCGGCCAAAACCTTTCTCCGGCATCGGGAGCCGGGCAGAGATGACCTACCAGATGACCCAGAAACGACCTACAACTATGACCCCTAAATAGATGGAAAGGTCAATCCCCATGTATTGGGAACCGTGCCACTATTTATATATTTAGGGGACCACTATACTCAGCTGAGGAAACCCAAGCTATAGATGGATTTTCTCTTCAAAAGCACTGAACATCCACAGACTGAGTGTGGCAACACGTGTTCGGGTCCAACTGAGTGTGGCAGGTCTTTTCATGGACGGAGCCAGTGCCTCTATCTTGACCCTGACACAGATGTACATACATTTTCTCCCCAGGTCAACCACCCCAATGCACTTTCAATCCTGTCAGTCCCATTGGAGTGTTTCTAGTGGTCCTGCTTGCCTGCCGCTCGTCGTCGAAGCTCCGGGTCCGTCGACCGGGACTCCGCGCGGCTGCTCCCGTGGTCCTCGTCCTCGTCCGCTCGTGGCGGGTTCGGATGGCGGATGCTGTGGACGTGGAGGAACATGGAGTCTGGTTCAGACGGTATGGGGTGTTACGGAGTAGACGGTCTCAATCGGTTGGAACGGGGCTGATGGTCGATGGGCTTTTCAGAGAGAGGCCATCCAATTTGGGTGGGACATTGTGACTGCAAAGAATTTGATACAAACCGCAAGAGGGGTATTGGTCTAGGGAGATGTTTGGGAAGGACGCTGGAGCACGCAGCACGCCGAAGCCTGCAGCTTTCGGCTGATCGCCGACGAAGCAATGCAAGCAAGAGCTTGAGCCGTACAGCAATCGAGCCATTCTTTTGGTCACACCTATTGGGTGTAGGTCAAGAGCAATACCAAATAATACCAAGGTAATTTTGAGGAGTGGACCCTCGACCCAATCAGGTGGATGGTGTGGATGGTCCTGCTCACAGTTCTTGGAACTATCTGACTATCTGACCCACAGGCTGCATCCTGACCCAAAAAGACCCAGATCTGTTTTTGTTGGGGTCTCAATGCAACATGTACCGACGATCGAACTGGAACTTGAACGGTCAACCCTTGCTGGAAATCCGTCATCGAATGTCATCGATGAACCATGCAGATGAACCTTTCTGGCGAGCTACTCTCAGAACACATGGATTGCCCCAATGGCTGCCAAGGGGCATTTTGAAAGATTCCTTGGAAGGCTTGGAGAAACAAGCCAAAGATTGTAGGCTAAGGAGGCCATGAATTACTTCGAACTGCAACTCCTTTTAGAATCACCTTTTGCTTGCCTTAAAGAGAGACGGGGCCATTTGGCTACTCCATCAAAGATGATTCCACACTCGACTCCAAAAAGTCAAAAAGCAAAACATTCATGGGAGCAAAACCCTGCTAGAACTTCCAGTCTACTTCCCGAGCCGCGATCGACGCCCATCGCGAGAGCAAACCAAAAAAAGGAGGTTTCACGCGATCATCACGGCCGTCGTGCCATGGCAGTGCGCGTTCGCCCGTTGAAACTGCCAACCTGGAGGAGTTTTCTGTCCAGGCCAACCCTGGGAGGGTGGACGACGAGGTGGGCTGAGGTGAGTGGGAGGCGCAGCACCTCTTGTTGTTCTTGAATGGTCTTGGAAGCTTCCGAAGACATCGTGCCAAGAAGCTATCAGGTGGCCGACATTTGCCATGATGATTATCCTGAAACCTTATTCAGGTGCCAAGTAAGACACATTTGCCACTGGAGCCTGGCACAGCCTGCCACCCCACCTCGCTGTCTCAGGCCGACGACCAGCGCAATCGACCGGGTCGGAGCACGATGGACGCCTTCCCTGTGGCCCCAGGTGCATGGGTGTGGGACATGGTGTGTGACTCAAGAACATTGAAGAAGCCTACCCAGAAATGGTTGAAATATTGATTCCCTAGGTGAGGGTTGTTAGATTATATGTCAGCTGCCGCGCTGTTCTCCTCCTCTCGTCTCCTCGTCCTCCTCCTCCTCCTCCTTATCCTCCTCAACCGCAAGTGTAGGACGGCAGTGTTCCCCGCCGGACCTCAACCGCCAGCTCCGGACAGCAGTGTTCCCCGCCGGACCTCAACCGCGAGTCGGAAGATATGCCAGATAGAACGCCAGAAAGAATGTCAGAAGATATGCCTTTGTCCTACTACCTGTGCCAGTCAAGAACAGATTATCACTATTTTTGAAGGCCTGCAACCACACCCCATCACCATCATCATCATCATCACCCACTGTTACAGGGAATAGGATAGACCCGACGTATATGTCTCTTTCACTATCCAGCTGCAGCTTCTTCACTGTGTGTCCTCAAACAAGGCGTCCGGTCCAGTCACCTTTCACACACCTTGGGCGTGACCTCAAACCCAGCCCAAGTGATATCAAAAGACATCTCAAGCAGTCACCGAGTACCACACCCACGTCCTCATGTGGGTGATCTCATGCATTCGTCGGATAGTCTATAGTATTACGGGCACATCAAGCGACGTCACTGGATGCAAGCAGAAACCAGTGTCACAAACCTTTGCTTCACCGCCATCCGGACCCGTTGTGACGGCGCTTGGTCGCCAGGTTCGAGGCTTCGGTGCGGTGGGTCAAGGGGTGCAGGTCCACCGAAGGCCTGTGACTTGGCGAGGACCGTGGGTGTGTGGGTCCACCGTGGAACAGGAACCATTTTGGGACCAGCAAAAACTGACACCAAGAGAGGAAACCATGAAGGCAAATGGTTGCTGCCTCGTGAAGTACGAACTTCTATGGTTTGATTCCATGTTGGTCGGGCCTTCAAAGTGTTTTTGAAGGAGAGAACACAGCAAGAAACAATTCAAAGAAACCATTGTCAAGGTTCCCTTGGGTTTAAACTTATCAGTTATTCTCTTGTTCCTGGTCATTGGAAGCACATAAACAAGGGACGGTCACGTTCAAAACCTCTCCTGCAGGCTGTTACTTGGAGGGAGTGCTTTGGATGGACATGACTATACTGAGAAATACACCATAGCTTCGGTTCATGGATCCTTTCTTTCGACCCCTAGAACCACTCAAGCACGTCACCAGCATGCGGTTCTCAGCCCCCGATCCCCTTCTTGGACCCCAACCAAAAGGACGGTCATCAGTCACCCGTCGCCCGCCTAGGTCCGCTCCGTGAACTTTGCGCCCGACGGGCAGCGGCTCTGCACGGCCTCGGAGGAGCCGCGGTCGTCGCGGGGCGGACGGGCGGTGCGGACGGTGGGAGACGGTGCCGTTCGGAGACGTTGGGACCTCTTGGGAAGCAGTCAGGACTCTTGGGAGGAGTGAAACATAGTGTGTGTTACATGGGTTTTTATTTTCTCCTTAAGTGCTTAAGCTGGCTCTCCAGCCTTGGACCAAGTTTCTCAGCCCTTCGGTTTGCTCCCTGCGGTCGACCGGACCGATCCATGGAGGCGTTTTCTCGCGTCAGGACGGCACCGCCAAGGTCTTCGACCTGTCCACGGGGAAGTTGCTCAAGGAGTCGACTTGGTGAGTCAAGTCGAGTGGAAAAAGGGAGGGGGTGGGACGAGGCGATGGGCCCCAACCTCCATCCTGTGGCCCCAAAAAAACTATGGACCCGAAACCGCGAACGCAAAGCACAGTCCTCTCTGAAAGGAATTGGCGATGGGCTCAACGCCTGGAGGTGCTCAACCATTCAACTCCACCGAGAGAGATGGGGAGTTTTTCATGCGCGAAGGTTTCGCACGATGTTTCGCACTTCCATCCACTTCCTTAAGAAAAGGGAGCTGAACCAGGACCCTCAACCAGAATTGTCCAATGGACGGACCTCGTGTAAAGACGTGCCCAAGAACCCACTGGGGCGAGCTCGGAAAGCAGACGTTCAGACCTTTATCAGACCGACGAGCGATGGCCTCCAACCTAGTAGTGTCCGATCTCTCCGTTCGTAGCGATGCCAGGAGCCGCGTTCGTAGCTTCTTGCTTGCTCCTAGTAGTAAGGCCAGGAGCCCCCTTCGTACCGTCGTTCGTAGCGTCCTTGCTACTAGCGATGGCCTCCAACCTACTAGCCCCTTTCCCTCAAAGCCTGGGGATTTTTCTGAGAGACCCCAGACCCCTGACCTTCGGATTCGGGGCCCAGACCCTTGGATCGCGGATTCGGCGAAAGCCTCAGGAGGTGGACCACCACAATACGATTTGGTGGGCCGACTTCAGCCAGGCGGGCTGGCTCTAGGTAGGAGACCTATAGGGTAGACCTACATGGATCTACACGTTTTTGGGAACCTGAGTGAGCTTTGTTTCGGCGACTGATCTAAAACGGACCCTTTTTTCCGATCCAAAAAGAGGTCCAACAGGTTCTAGCCTCTTGAACTGAAGTTTTGCACCTTGACGGTGGAACGATCGTAGACTCCACAGGCAAAAGCTCGAAACAACCCCCATCCACTCGATCTGGATGTGGATCATGGCACCAGAATCCTTTGCTTGACCTATACTGTCGGTTTCTTCCGCGCCATGCCGGACATGGTCGGGCTCTTAAACGGACGGTTTTCACGACGGGACGACCCTCCCCTCGATGTTTCACTCGAGGATGGGCAGATGCTGGTCACCTGCTCCGACGACCGCTCGGTCAGGGTCTATGACTGCTCGCGCTGGGAATTGCTGGACGCGGGGACGCGCGTTCGTACGACGGGCGTTTACGCGGGCGTTGTTTGCGCCGTGTTCGAAGGGTTGGAGCGGAACTGGGGTGAGACGAAACCACTAAAGACCACTTTGGGATTTGGATTCTGTGCAAGGGTTTTGGGGACGCAACCCGAAGTTTTGAACAGTAACTTATCCCAAACAAGAGCGGGCCCATGGGGACACTGTCCCAAAAGCTTAGATTCTCAGATCTTGAAACCAGCTCAACGACACTTTTGCGTGCTTTTCGGACCAGACGCAAAACCAGGGCCCAACCACGGAACTGCCACGCAGAACAGCTGCCGAACCACCTCCAGACCACACCACTTAGTTGCCGGGCCGTCGCCCGGGCCCACCAAACGCCAGACGCCTTCGGCACCGGGCGGCGCCAGGAGATGTTTGGCCACGGCTTGCCGGTGAAGTCTGCGAGCTTCTCTGGGGAGCGCCTGGCCACCGCCAGTGGCGACGGGCCACCCGTACCGAGCGGTGAAGCCTCCGTCCGGGTGGGGGGTGGAGCCACGTGGGTGGAGGAGCCATGTGTGGTTGGACCGGGATGCGACAGGATGCGTGGCTCCTGTGGTTCGGTACAGCTTGGGATTCATTCAGAACAGGATGGTTCGGTACAGCTTCGGTACAGCTTTGTGTAATACTACAAACGATATTTGGTTAGATGCGATGTAATCCAAAACGCGCGACGCGGACACCCATGTGTGGCGGCGCCATGTGCAATGTCGGTGAGGTGGACAGAGCAAAGTTGATCGCTTTTTGGCGGGGAGGAACGAAGGCAATTGTGTTTTGATGGGAACTGATGCAGAGTGTTGAAGATCAAGCTCAGTGTGACATGAGGCCTTCTTCTAAGAATTAGGCCGAAGCTCCATGCTCATAGTGGGTGGCATTGTGTTTGGGTGCAAAAAATGGTCGAGTGTTTGTTATTGCCAGGGTAAGCAGTTCATGGACTCCGTAAGCGGCTGTCCAGGAGGTGCTGCGGAACTTGGATGGCTGCCACTCTCCGAACCGCTGTTTTTGTGCGACAAGTTTGGTTGACGTTTCTGCATTTAAAAACCGGGTTTGGGTAGAGGATGCATGCTGATTCTACTGGTCCTTTTTTACAGATTCTGACCATCCTATTGGTCATGGATGGCTCCGATCACCCTTCCTCATCTTTTCTGGGGCCCGATGTTCTGCACGGAAGACACCGGACACCGTGGGTAGAGTCTTCGCCATTTTGAACCGCGCGCTGTGATGCCTACGGCATCAGGTTCCTGAGAGTCTTTGATTTGGACTCCGGCCGCGAGGCCGGCGAAACGCACCCGGAGAAAGACCGACAAGAGAAGGGACGAAGTTGGTGAAGTGGACCAAGATCCGGAAGACACGATCTGATGGGTTTTGGAGGGGACCATTGAATCTCTAGCATAGAGGAGAGGAAGAGGATGAAAGATGCCTATAGCCTTCTCTGATATCGGAAGAAGAATTCGAAGCTCGAAGGCTTTAAGTTCGGGCAAGAACTTCAAGAACTTCGGGTGCCAAAGAGTCCACGCATCCACCGAGAACTGCGGTTGTCACGAAGAACAACATGAGTATCCCCACAGGTCAGTGAAGAACCTCATGAAATACAGAAGTTGAGTTGATCAACACCAAAATTACTCAATGACGTATTTCAAAGGACCAGGAGATTGGACCTGGGCCAGGAAAAGCGACACACGAGTTCGTCACCACTTTCTTCCCGTGTGACACACGAACCACTCCATGACGTCGACTTTTTTTGGCGCTGATCTCATACCGTCGAACCCAACCCGCCCTCGAAGTCTCACCTCTGCGCGTAAACCCAAACGCCAACTCGGCGCTCTATGCGCGCGCCGCTTCTGCCTCAGTTGGCGCCTCGGAACCAAGATGCCGTCCCCCAAACTGCCTCAGTTGGCCAAGCACAAGCACGAGAGCTGGGTGATTTCCTGCCGCTTTGCGCATGACGGCACCTTCCTCGTGACTCGGATGACCTGGCCCACGCACCCGCGTCGTTGCGGGGTGCAGTGACGCCCCAAACCGACCCGAAGCACACCCGAACCCCATTGGTTCGGGCCCGGATTCCGAAAGAGCAGAATGTCTCGTGAGAACTCCGGACCTGACCATGGCGTGTCCTGACGTGTGGCCGCGGCCAGGAACATGAGGCTTGGATCACACACCCAAAGCCACACACGATCCATAATTACATCGATCCAATTTGAAAGGAGTAGCTGTTCCTCCCATGACCCTGGTGATGACTCCGAATTCCAAGCCCTTCTTGGATCCGACCATCGGGCCCCTCCTGAGGAAGCAAAGGGGATGGACCTTCAGGACTTCCATGATTTTTTTGGAAAGAGTGTATCTTCCAAGGGTACCATGTTCTTGGATGGAAGGTTTGTAGATGGTCGAAGAACTGCTTGGGTCGAAGCTGCTGAAGAACTGCCAAGAGCTGTGGAAGGGACATGGTTGAAGGAGGACCTCCTGCACCTGGAGTTGCTGCTCCTCCCCGCAAAATACTGTAAATGTGTTCATTGACTTTGTGCTTTTTTCAACTATAGGAGCGAAATCCATCAAAAGAAATATATTAGGATACATATTTATTAGGATCTTGATATATTCTTGATATAACTAGATTATTATCATCCCTGGAAATAGGATCTTGATATATCTGGTTTATTCAGGTTTCATATATTAGTGATATTTTTGATTATATCTTGACATATCGTGATATATTAGGATACATCATTAGTGATCCTATTTCAAGGGTTTCCCACTTGGAAGGTCGACTCTTCTTCCACCCGAGGCGAGCGGGGCGGCGGACAAGTGGCTCCGCGTCTTCGATGAGGAGGGCGAACTGGCGCCTCGGCGGTTCGTGCGGCGGTTTCGGGGGGGCGGGAAGGAACTGGAGTAGACTGGCGATGGCCTCCACCTAATAGCGATGGAGCAAGAACATTGTAGACTCCAAGTTTTATCCATCCATCCAGACATCTTTCTGGTAGGGACTGGGTTTAGTATGTATTCATGTTGACAAACCACAGGTGAAACTGTGAAGTGATTTCATGTGATCATGTGATCTTCTGCTTCTTCATGACTGGAACGCCCATCCGGAAGTGTCGCACAGCCCGAGACCACCGCCCCGTTCTGCCTCAGAGAGGTAGTGGGGGGGTCGCCGGGTGGAGCTGGTAAGTAAGCACCCTGGCTTTCCTTTCTGAGTGAAAGACCAGGCTTTGGCCGTAGCAACTCCAGCGGTTTGCCCCAAAATGTGTATGGAGACTCTCCAGGTGCCTTTCCCCTCCAAAGGAGTTTTGTCAGAGTTTGCCGCGGGCCATGGGGTGTGTGCCCAGCCCTAGAAATCTCCCTCCAGCGTCGTGGGACGCGCCCTCCGCCCTTCGACGTCTGAAAGCACCCTCCGTCGCCCGCAGCAGAACGCGCGAAACGCGTCCCAGGTCTTCAAGCACTGCTTCGCGGGACTGGTGACGTGTGCCTTGACGGGCGAGGGGAGAGCGGTGGGAGAGCGGTGGGGAGAGCGGTGGGACAGTCGCGCCCAGAGGCGCAGGCCCCAGAGTTGGCCCCCACAGGCGCTTGTTCATGCTGTCTGCTCTAAGAATGCGCACGGACCCTTCGCAGGGGACCTTCTCCACCGAAACGCAAGGGTTCGGACCCCAAGCGAAACCCTTCCCATAGCAGTCGGGCCCGGACTAGGGTGGCTTATTTTGGGGGGAAGTCAATGCATTGACATCATTGACTCATTCACCACTTCGAAGACGGGTTGATATCACTTCAGCAGTGACTCGACCTGGGGTTCTCCCAGCTTAGTGATTGGCCCGATGAGGCAATTGCACATTTACACGATTTGGAGGTGTTTTTGGATAACCCGCTAAGTGAGTCAATAGAAATTAAACAGCTCGCCTTGGGGTTTAGTTGAGCGGACAAAGGAGACTCGGAATAAGTGCGTGTTTGCACCGTAGATGTTTACAGTTTGTGCTTCCCCTCCCAACTTATCCACTACTATACAGACTACAAACTATCGCCATTGCCGTTGCCAACAGCATCATCACTATCATTAAAACTGTCATATATTCATATTCACAATCGAATGATCCCCACTAGTCACCATCGTTTCCATCCACATGATAGGATCATATAGGATCATATAGGAACACCATCTTCTTCTGCATCGCCTGCTGAAGCACTTCCTCACGACGACCTGGTGCTTCGTCTCACTGTGAGGCGTGGACTTCTCCAAAGAGGCGCTCTTGTGCGCCACCACCACACGCCAGGAGGCACGGACGGTGAGCAGCGGTGGGCCCCAGGTTTGTTTCTGCTCCCATAGTTCTGTAGCTCGTTTTTTAGCCTGGATTTGTAGCTTTTCTTTTTCTTCAGAAAGGGTATGTGTTGAACAGTCCAGTCCTATAGAAAGTCCTGGACTCGGGATGAAAGCACCTCGGGGGCCTTGTCGTCGTTTGTGAAAGTGACCAACGAGGCCTACAGTCAGACGCTCCTGTCGGCGTTCCCGCTGGAAGGTTCGGAAAAAACCATCCCCATTGGTTGGGGATCTAATGATGAATGTTCATGTACAAACCACAGGGTTGAAACCCTGTGAAACCGGATCATCGAAGGATCTCAGTGATTCTTTTGAACGCGCTCGCGCCTTTGGCGGCTCGCTGTGGCCATGTTCTCCCGGGCCGAACCAAACCGCTGCCGAACGCCCCGGAAAGGATGGGATCTATGTGCTGGATGTGCCCAGTGGACGCTGAGTGCAGGTGCGATCGAAGCGCGCAGCTGGCGTGGACAGACACAGAAAGGGGCGGATTGTGCGGATTGATGTGGTCAGGAACTTGTCATGGGGTCAGCCCTGCTCTGCTCCCAATTCCAAAAAATAGCCATGTGAACAGTCAGCAAGTTCCAGTCGAATCTGGAAAGCCCTAGAATGTATACTGTATACTATAAAATATGACATGCATGCAGTTTTTTGTAAAATCAGTCATTTGACTGGTTAAACTCTCAATTGGACTGTTGAAGAAGGCTAGTCACTGGTCCGGCGTCCCCATGCTGCAGAAGAGCTGCTGTTGTCGGTGCAGGGCTTCGTTGGTGCAGAGATGAACGCATTCCA